AGTCCACGTGCACCATTGGTGGCCGTGTGTGTCGTTTTGTGATTGATTCTGGTGCCAGCGACAATGTGATCTCCAATGAGGATGTAGCCAAGCTTGGGTTGTTGACTGAGCAACATCCGCATCCTTACTCTCTTGCGTGGATACAACGGGCTAATGCTGTTGATGTCAATAGTCGTGTGTTGGTGTCTTTTTCTATTGGTTCCACCTATAAGGATGAGGTTTGGTGTGATGTAGTGCCTATGGATGATTGCCATCTCTTATTAGGCCGTCCTTGGCAGTTTGATAGGTCGGTGCTTCACAATGGTCGGCTTAACACCTATGAGTTTTTACATGAAGGCTTCCGCATTTTTTTACACCCCTCGGCTCCTCGTGGGTTCCCTTTGTCACGAGGGTCACCGGCATTATTCATTTCTCGCTCCGGGCCGTGTGCGGAGTTTTGTGGGTCGTTGGATGATCGGTCATGGGTTTTTGAAGTGGGAGATTTTGTGTGGGCTGAATCCACGTTGGATGGTTGGATCGGCCCCTACGAGCTCGTCGATAGACTCTCGCCAGATTCCTTCCGTCTCCGCTTACCGTCTCATGTGTCTTCATCGGATGTTTTTCACATTTCACATTTGGCCCCTATGCATTCCTTTGCCTTTGACGGAGACGAGACCGATTCGGATTCGCGGTCGAATCCTTCTCAACCGGGGGAGGATGATGGAGATGAGACCGCGATTTCGTTTCGAAATAAATATGATAGGCTTCGTATTTAGATTATTTATTTCCTATTAGTATTGTTCCCTTTTATTTTATTACCTTAGTTATTTTATTATAGTTGGTAAGTAAATAAATATCTAGCCTAGCTTGTTAGGCAAGATAAGTAGGACTCTATATATTTATCTCATCTCTACCGTAGTCAGATGGTTGAATTTGAAGAAGATTTCTGATATTTGAGTTTTGTGTTTTTTCGAGAGAGTATCTCGTTTTATTATTCCCATTCGTTCACGCTTTCCTACATCATGTTATGATTTGAATAAGTTCTTGATTGCCAAGTAATCATAGAACTTCCCAATAAGCATCGAGAGACCGTAATGGGTCGAAAATTGAATGACTGAGAGACCACTGAGGTTGAAAACTGAAAATCGAGTAATCACCGATGAGGTCGAAAGCTGAGAATCGAGAGACTGCTGAGGTCGAAAACCGAGAATCAAGAGACCGCTGAGGTCAAAAACTGAAAACCGAGTAATCACCGATGAGGTTGAAAGCTGAGAATCGAGAGACCGTTGAGGTCTAAAAGCGAAAACCAGTAATCGCCGATGAGGTCGGAAGCCGACAATCATTAGACCGCTGAGGTCGAAAACTGAGAATCAAGAGACCGCTGAGGTCAAAAACTGGAAACCAAGTGACCGTCGATGAGGTCGAAACCAAAAACCAAAAATCGACTGACCACCGAGGTCGAATACCGAGTGACCGTCGACGAAGTCGAAAGTCGAGAACCGAATAGCCACCGATGAAGTGGAAAACCAAAAACTGAAACCCGAATGACCACTCTTCGAAGCCTTGAATTTGAAAATTTGAACTTTCGTTTGTTGTATTTCGATCACCAGGTTTGAGCTCTCTTAGACCATCTCCTCGTCCTATCGCCCCTCAGTTCAAAATTTAAAATTTAAGTTTGTTGTATATTCCTTTTAAAAAAATTCGACAAACCAGAATCAACAATCAACAACCTACTCGAGCAGTAATGAATATACTCGACCCGCCTCTGAGGTCGAAAAATAAATTCGACAAACCATAATCGACAAACAACCTGCTCGAGCAATAATGAATATACTCGACTCGCCTCTGAGGTCGAAAAATAAATTCGACAAACCATAATCGACAAACAAACTGCTCGAGCAATAATGAATATACTCGACCCGCCACTGAGGTTGAAAAATAAATTCGACAAACCAGAATCGACAAACAATCTGCTCAAGCAATAATGAATATACTCGACCCGCCACTGAGATCAAAAAATAAATTCGACAAACCATAATCAACAAACAACCTGCTCGAGCAATAATGAATATACTCGACCCGCCACTGAGGTCGAAAAATAAATTCGACAAACCAGAATCAACAAACAACCTGCTCGAGCAATAATGAATATACTCAACCCGCCACTGAGGTCGAAAAATAAATTCGACAAACCAGAATCAACAAACAACTTGCTCGAGCAATAATGAATATCATCCAAAACCATAATCAAATAAAATTCAATCAACCTGCTCGAGCAGTTATGAATATCCTCGACCTAACAAATCCTGAATCAAGGAAACCATCATCCTGTCCTTGAAGTCGAAAAATAAATTGGATGAAATCAGAATCAAATAAATATCATCGACCTGCCACCGAGGTCTGCTCGAGCTA